AAAGGTACTCGGTACTGCGTCTGGAACCTATTCATAGTGCCTGGTAAAAGTTCTCCCTCTCTCTCTCTCCTTACCCCAGGCACAGGGGAGGCTGTTCTTTCCTGGGCATTTATCAAGCAGAGAATCCATTCCATATTACTTGAACATCACTTTGGAAAACACTGTCTAAAATAAATTTGAAAAACTAGTACAGAAAATGATACAAATTTTAAAACTCAAACTATATGTAAGGTATTTTTCATAAAAGTATTCATTAATGACCTAGAACATGAAGTCTATAATGGCAAATGAAGTGATTCTTGGAAGTTTAAGGAATTTTTCCACTATTAGGAACTAAAGATCATTCTTTCCTTCACTATGAAAATTCTGAGTATTAATCTCAAAAGGATAATTTTTTTTTAAATCTGACATACATCTCTGACAATTTACATGACAAAATACAATTTCCCTACTAATCAAAGTAGTGCCTATAATAAATATATTCTAGTTTCTTGCTTTATATCCTATGATGTATTCCTTCAATTATATAGACAGTTAATATACCATAGAAAATATATCCTGATAAGATTGAGGGAACTAGAGACAATAGAGCAGCACCAGCAGCAAATCAACAGCATTTTTCATGTATAATTACTATCTAAATTCTAAGTGCATCCCACAGATTTCCTTTACAGTAATAATTACTAGAAGTTATTACCTTGCCCTATGTCATGGGGCCAATAAAATGGCAAAACAGGGATTCAAACCCTCATCTGCCTGTTTTTTAAGCACAAGCTCTTACTCATTACAGTATCTCTTAGCAGCCTCTCCCTAGTTCTATAGTGCAGAGAGAGTTTGTTTAACAGAGATAATTTGCCTACATATCAGTAGTTGGAACATTTAAAAATATACTAGGTGTAAAGTTTTATTTAAGGCAACAAAATAGAATAATGAAACATTGAAACAGTTCTAATTAAACAAAAGTTCTTCCTATAGAGCACAGGCATAGTCTCATTTTCAGCTAAAAAGATCAAATAAATATCCATAACAGCCCACTGATCCCAAGAGCTAAGATGTATTGAATGTTTACTATGTTGGAATTTATACCCAGCCACAGAAGTAGGACTCTTCTTAATACTATTCTTTTCAAAATCTTGCCAGCACTGCTAATCTATATAGAAAGGGTGGGACAAAAAAATGAGGAAATAAAACTATAAACATAATTTTACTTTGGGAATAAGTTAAAGTCACGATCCAGATGTGACAAAGTTCTCTGGTAAACTTACCAATAAGTCCTTTTGCAGTACTTGGTGTCACAGCTATGTGGGCAGGCATGGAGACAGGTTTGGTTTCTTCTGTAGGCACAGATGTTATGCTACTGCTTTCAGCTTCAATGGAAACATCTTTCCCACCCCTTCGCTTTATTGTGCCTGTGTCACCTTCTGAGTCCTCTCCCCAGTATCCTGTGGAAGAAGCCCAGCTTGCCCGGGATTGAGCTTGTTCAAGACTCTCTCTACTTTGATTTTGCCTGTTATACTTGGCGCTATGATCAGAAAACATCATTTGGTCCATATGGCTAGTTGAGGCCCATAAACCTGTAGGATCTCCTGAATAATCAAAGTGAGTGTGCCCAAATGGAAGTGTTTCCCAGCTTCTCTGGTGCTGGATGGTCTGTATGTTATCATGGGAACCGCTGGAGCATGATGTCCAGCTCCCACGGCCACTGTCAGCAGCATCAAGTGAAGCGCGGTCCCCCTGGTCTTGGGACAGTTCCTCTGTGCTTGGAGAGGAAATTACTGTAGCTGTAGCATATAAGCCTCGACTCTCAGACATGGGTGCATAGGACCTAAGTGGTCAAAAGAAATGAAAAAGACACACAAAATTGTTAATAAATCTGGGATAAAAGACCAAAACCCCCTTTTACTCTAGAAAAGTAGCTTTCTTCATCCCAGGAAGAGGGTAGAAGCACTACTGAATTGCATAGTGGTGGCTAGTTTTCGCATCTTGTCATAACCATAAAATCAACAAAACACAGGGAAAAGAAAAACTACAGTCAAGGAACATTTCCCTTACAGAGTTAAGTTTGGCTCAATATAATATGGTTATTTCAGGAAGGCTATTCAGGCAAAGGAATGGGGATACATTTTAAAGTCACCCCTTGTCTTCTGCACAGAATGAATGTGTTGCAATGAAGAGAAAACCTAACTTAAAAAGCAGTCTGCACAGCAAAAATGGTGTGGTACTTGATCTTTTGGATTGTCAGAAAAGTCATGATGTATTTTGTGTTTCGAGCAAAAATGTGTCATGACTTTGCCAACGACCCAACAGAAATGGAGAAACTCAAAGTTGGGGTTTACTTTTCACTGGAACACAGTTGCTCTGTGCTAAAGACACATACTTCTTGAAGAAAGAAGATGGAAGTGTAATGCATGTGAACATTTAAGAAAAGGCACCTACCCTAAGCTGTACTGATCAGGTTCAATCATGGTCCGTCTTTCCATCCTGCCCACACCCAGGTTTGTTTCCACAATGCTGACAGAATGCCTCTGGCGCCGCTCATCATGCAGAGAGACTGGCACCGAATCAAATGAAGAATTGCTGACGATACTGGATCGTGAAGAAATTTCACTGTGACCAGAATCTGAAAAATTATCCACAGTACCACTGGGAGCCAAACTATAGCCTGCATGGGAGATACAACCATGTTAATTAGATACTGTCAGTTTATGACATAAATCTGAAGTCTACCAAACAGAAGCAAAAACAAGATGTAGGCCAAAGATAATATCACTGAAGTGAGGAAAAAATCATTTAATTCTGGAAACCAGATGACTGTGATAAGGTAAGTTTTTACTCAAATGAAGCTTAACTTGCTTAATGTCAGTTTAGAGAAAGGAAAAAAAAAAGTTATGAGTTGGGAAATGATGCAGAAATCATGGTACACTTCAGCTGTTCTTACTTAGCTCCTTTAAAAATATTACACTATTACTAGTCTACATAAAAGATAATTTTATGTTGGAGATCAGTTACTTATTTTTTTTTTCAAACTACATCAGTCTGTTTTCATCTCTTAATTTTTAAAATTTTATGGCATCAAATAATTGAAATATGGGATTTAATTACAATTTCAAGTGAATTTCAAAGAATAAGAAATAAGACATCATTGGATTGTTAATGTTGAAAAAAACAAAAGCTATTAAATACATTCCACAAAAGCCAAAGGTTTTGAAGGAACTAATGTTTAAGATCTATTTACTCCCTGAAGCATCTAAACAGATGTCCTTTTTTATACTGAAGGACTTTAGTTCTCCTTTATTGCTAAAAATAATTTTGAAAGCCAGAGGCTTATCTTGATATTTTTAGTGAAAAAATCCCAATCATTCTGAGGACTAATTTTTTTCAACATTAGATAATTTCAGTGCTACTTACCCTATAAATCTAGAGCACCTAAATGTTGTTTAATTTACTCCCAAAGTGGTAATTCCGCCATCCTTTCAGTAAATTGTTAATTCCTGATTTATTTTTTAAAGATTGCACAGGTCTTGATAAGGTTTAATGTGTTCATCTATGAAATGTCTTATGAACCACACTACAAGTTCTCACAGGCAAGCTCTACAAGGCTTCCTGAACAGTCTATTTAAAAAAACAAAAACAAAAACTCTAGAAACAATTACTCAGATGGAGCACTTGACATTTGGAGGAATTCTCCCATTTTCCTTGACTAATGAAATATAATTCCTTTCTTTCCCACCCCGGTTTTTTTTTTTTTTTTTTTTTGGTTCTATAAACCCCACCTATCCCATAGGTCCGTGGTGCATTGTTATTCTTGTTACTGTTCTCACTTCCAAGAGAAGAGGAGGAACTGTTTAAGTCCAGCTGCCCGGAGCCAAAAGATCTCAGCTGATTGCCACTGCCACCTAACAACAGGACGAGAAAAGAATTTAGATGTATCCATTTAACAAGGACAGTAGAGACTGATACCCACACAAAATGCACAGATGTCTGAAATAGCTAAAAAGCAAAACAAGGTATTTGTTTTATCAATGAAATCTAACAATTTATTAATCTTTTTGTCCTTCCTTTAGGAAAAACTGCCTTAGCCCTTGAGTACTGCCACACCCATTCAATTAAAGGGTAGAAGAAGGTAACCTGGAGAGTCATGCAGCAGAAAGTTAGTTTTTAAGGTAAGAAAAGTATCATAAGGAGAGTTTGATTGCCAAAAATTCCATCTCTTTAAAATAAGATAGCAACAAAAAGGTAATCAAGACCTGTGTAAATACAATGAAAAAATAAATCAGGAAGCTATTAGTTAGGCTTTTAAATCTCTCAACTCTAATGTTATATAATCAAATTTAGACAACTTTTAATATAAAAAGATTTCCACAGCTACAATAAAAAACCTTATATAATAACTATTTTCTATAAGTACATTTAAAAATACCAAGGTTTTTCCAAATTTACAAATGATGGGAGAAAACCCATTGGGTATCAATCATTTTAAATGACACTATAATAATAAATTCCAGAGTTATATAGATTTCAGTTATAAAATAGAATATAATATTAGCAGTATAAAGGGGGAAAAAAGTAATTTAGTTCTACCTTTTCGTGGAGAACTTTGTGGAGAAGTGGGAGGAGAAGAAAGCTGAGAAGATGCATTTGAGATTGTATCTTCTGCTTGCTTCTTGTGACGCTCCAAACTTCCTTCTTCAGATAAAGAAAGAATTTTCTTTAAAGCTTGTGGAGAGTTAATCCCTGTAAGAAAAAGAAAATATGTCTTTTAAAGATTGAAAAGAAACACAAAGTTTTAAGTTTTTAGTTAAGATTGACTATTACATTTCAACATATTTAAAATTCTAATGGTCTTTGTAAGTCTATAAACTTACTGCGAATAGTACCTACTGTGTAGGTACACAAGACACCTATAGTTTGGTTTCAGACTGCTATCTCCCAGAGTATGAGAAATAGCCTGCTTTTTGTATTTTATTTTAGATTTTGCAATCACAGAAACTATGGAAGAAGTGATCAAGTGATCCAAAAGGTAGGATCAAACAGGATCAGAGTAGAAGAAAAAGAATCATATATATAATAAAGCTGATTTCCCCACAACCCCACACAGAAAGTTATTTTAATATGAATAACTTGTTTCTGAAAAATATCTGCAAAGCCACTAATATTATAAGGAGGCATTCAATTACCTTATTTTGAATAACAAAGATATTTGGGAATGCATGATAATCTGAAACTACCTCAACTCATCCTAGTTTTAATGCTCTTAAATTTAACAGGGTCCATTAAAAAGGAGGCAGTGAAAATTAACAGCTTTAATTCATTTCCTGGTTTTGAAAAGTGATTTTTTTAAAGATTGTATTGAAACATAAAATACTCTTACTTTTACTTCAGTTACATTTATAGACATTGTCATATATACAGGATACATGAAAAGACCAGCTATACTACAGGTATGTGAATGAATAGGCTTGATTTGGAAAAAATGTCCAACAGCACATACAGCAGCAGCATACATAGGGTCAAGAAGCCCTGTCTTTCGAACAATGCAGAGGAACATGAAGATGCTGGGAGCACGATATAAATATTTGAAGAAGAAATGTCAAGTAAAGCTATTTTTTCCCTTTTCTCCAAAACCCAGCTAATTGGCTATCAGCTGATCTGGAAGAATGAGCCAAAGATGAGTATATGAAAGATCTGAATTATATCACTCACTAGCTCAGAAAACCAGGCTGTAATTGGGCAGGAATGATCATAAATACCAATATTTGATTTTATCTAAGTAAACTCTTCGCTACCAGTTTATTTTTCTTAACCGCCTTTTAACATTTCATTTAGTACATGGTTGTAACATTTACTAAAGGGACTATACTAGTAGATATATTACTTTTAATGGGAAAGATAAAGCATGATTTGGCTCCTTAATATTCAGAAACTAATTGTACGTTCCCTCCAAGTTATAGAATCAGTAAGAATAAGAATTTGCCTCCAAACCATTTCTTTAAATCCCAGACATTCATTGATACTAAGGCAAAACTCATTTAAATAATGTAACTGGACAAAGATAATTCTGTACTTACTAAAAATCAGTTAAAAGCGTATTTCTTCTTCTATGACAAAGGGCCCGATTAAATGAGATTCTCCATGGAAACAGTCCCTTCCTCTGGCAACTTTAACTTCCTGAACATTGTATTTCATTAACAAGTAACAGGGTGGGACTCAAATATAGTAGATGAAGTTATCAAAGATTAAGGATTTTTCCTAATCTGTAAAACAACAGTGAACAGCACCAAGTAAGCATCTGAACCTAATCACCTACCGAAAGGTGGGAGATCCTTTACGGGCACTTTCTTTCGTGAAGGATAAAGGGACACAGCTGGAACCTGCAGTCCTTGGTTGATTTTATGCGGTGGCTGTGGTTGCTGGGGCTGCGGCTGGGCTGGTGCTTTCTGTTGTGACCCTGCTGCCCTTGGAGCCACTGGGGAGGTCTCAGATTTGACAGGCTTTTTGTCCCCAGGATTCTTAGGCACTGATAATTGTTTGATTTGAAAATAGAACAAGAAAATTAAGATAGCAGCAACATACAAGATAATGTATAACGTTTACCCTATTTCTATATAAATGGCTAAAATGGAAGGGGTATGCTAGTTCTATACTGTTAATTAGCCCATAAAATATTAAATAGCTCAGTGTTTACATGTATGCATAAGAAACACAATTATATGATAAAAGCTACAATGGAAAAACTGTTAGGAATCATTTTCTAAAATGGTATACAAAATTCCCTGACACGTGAGCATAATTGCTAATTTAATGGTTATCAACTGGCATCTTTTTTTTTACTATGAAATTCTCCAATAAAGTAGAATTTAAAAACAGTATAATAGTCAAAACAATATTGGCTGAGTCTATAATTCCATGGCAGATATAAGGCAAAGCAATTTAATAGGACAGTTAAATGCTGTATGTACAGTATCTTAAAGTTTAAAACAGCTCTGACATATGTATACTTCGCCATGTTACGCCAGAGGAAGTTCAGCATTGGGCAGTTCAAGCAATTTGCCTCGGAACAAACAGAATCTGAACTCAGACTCCAGAAGACAAGCTCTTCACCATGAAACAATGCTGCTATGAGTAAGTCTAATGACTTGAATCTTCAAGTCATCTAACATTTAAAATTCTATAGAAGGTCTCTTTAGACATACCCACACAAAAGACCCAATTTCAGGTGCCCTAAATGGAAAATGCCTGTCTTACAGATGTAAATAAACAGAAAACTGCTCCCGTTTCAAGCCCGGCCAGATCCTTAAAGGCTGGGAATGTACACATTATGCTGAATTGTGGGTGTATCAAAATTACAGCTTGACGTGGTAGCTGCTGAACCTGTTGTTGAGTACTACGCAAGCTGAGGTATAAAAGCAGCCAACATACCTGGCTCTGTGCTCCTCTGACCTGTGGGCCCCTCACAGGTTGCCCATCACTTTCAAAGTATCTTTCTGAGAAAACAAAGGATGCAAATGGGAGACACATGTGTCCCTTATATGTATAGCGGCTTGTGTCAGGATGAAATGAGTCTACAGTGTCATCCTTCCCCCACTAACCCAGTGGGACACAGGCCTAGCTGAGGGCATGCTGCATGGTATTCAGCAGCAGCATTCAAGGCAAAGGCTAGTGTGTCTCAGGGTGCCATCTCCCTCCTTCCACTATTTTGTCATTACTCAGATCACTGCACAGATCTACTCCAGGAAACAGAAGCACTTTCAGGAAAAACTCACATGTGTTGGTTGCTGGCTCACACTGCAGTGATAATGTTTGAAGACTCTCCTCATCCATTTCGAGCTCCAAATTGGACAGGTACTGCTTCACTTTTCGAGCCATTTGGGCATCTTCATAAAGCTTTTTGGCATTGAGAAAGGAACTACGACGTACCCGTTTTTTATGACCACCTGTCTGAGCAACATCTAGCACTGTTGCATTTGTACTACCCTGGCTGAGAGACCTGGAAGACGAAAAGGGAGATATGCAGCTCACTCTAGCATGGGTTACATTATCTACTTGAAACATGCCAAGGCCTCCATAAATATTGTGTTCAAAAGTCACATGACTCATTCTGGTGAGTACTATTACAAAGGAACATGGAATTTTTTTCTAGTTAAAAAACAACTCTACACACATTTGGTACATGTTCCCACTAGGAAATTCTACTTTTCACATCTATCAAACATTCAAAACAGTTGTCTCAAGAAGCCAGCAAATAATTATATAAAAGCTCATGCAAGAGTTCAGTCATAATCATGAAGGTTTACAATAAATTTACTTCTGAGTATTTTACATGTCTTCATATAAAATTAACTCCAGTGTTCAAATTTTCTTATTTCTTGCATTAAATGTAATGAGTTTTTTTAATACAGTCAATCTGTTAATAAAATGGTCATGCAATGTAAAAACTACATGTATAGAAACCAGCACATGAATTGTTAATTATTTTTTAATAGGATTGGTTTATAGAATGAAAATAGTAGTTAGTTGAGCCACAAAAATTTTAAATACCTAGGGGCACTTTTTATGTTACATATATCCTAATATCTGTGCAATAGTATTTAAATTGCACAATTTTTCTAATACCCTTTTTCTCCCCTCACCCCACTTTAGGCTGTTTTTCCATTTCAAGACACACAAAGTGAAGTAAAATCTTTCCGAAAGTTCAAAAGTATGCCTGGCCTACGGTCCCAGACAAACAGTCACTTCACAGCTCTCATGGACCATGACCTCAAAAGCAAAAGCCCCAACAGATTACACCTGAATTCAGTTTCCCAACTGAAGTTCTGCCAGAGCAAGAGGTTAAGAAAAAATGCAAAAATGCAAAGCATCAGAAAGTACAGCAGGTAAGAAAACAACACAATGAACAGAATAAGAACTGTGTGTGGGTATGCAAAGTCTCCATCACTTACCCCAAACTCCTCCATTTCTTCTTCCTGTAATTGAGAGCCATGGAGATTGAAGCATGGGTGTAGAAAGAGACAGAAAGATCACAAGCTCAGAAAGAAGGGACTAGACTTCTGGATAAGCAGTACTAGAAGGCCACAAACATTAAACTGCATTATCACCTCACGCACACAACTTTGCCAGGAATATTCTGCTGATTCAAAAGACAAATATACTTCAATTTTTTGTTCTAAAGAAGACTAACTCCTTTTCTCATTGGATTAATAATTTTTGATTACACTGACCGCTAAATCCAAATTGTGTGGCTATTGAGACAATGCTGTTTGGGTTATTTACATATTTTAGTTTTACTACCAATTAGGAGTTTTATCTCTACAAGTCAGTGTTCTGTAAAATAAGGAACAAATATTGTGCCTCATGTTAAATGAACAAAGTCTGATAGACAAGCTTTTTTGCTGACAGTCAAAAATTATATTTAGTATAGAATAAGACAATTATTCCATTTTAGGATTTAATGGAGATTGCTGGCATGAGCTAATAAAATTCTGCCATGCTATAAAAATATTCAAATTTTTCTCAATTATTAGGTAAATCTGAACTCAATCTGCTCTAACCCCCACATGTGCCAAGGAAGAGGACATACTCACCGAGTCCTGAACATAAGGGCAGGGTCCATGTTAACAGAAGCCATTCGGCCAACATGACGAATTTCTTTTGCAATCATCCTCAGCTTCTCAAAATTGACCAGCCCTTCAACTTTTGAGTCATTTCCTGAAATTGGCAAAGAAAAAATTACATTGCATTAATCTATGCTTCCACAAGTAAAAACAGAAATCCCCTACTTAATATATGTATTACCTTCATGGAGGAATGTGAGATCCTTCTTGATAACTGGGAATAGGGGGATAATGGGAGGTTGTAGGTTTTGACTATTGAGGACATTGCGATATTTTGCCATGTTTCTGGAAGGATCAAAGAGGTCTTGGAGATCTTGAAACAGCTTTTCATATTTATTGGGAAGTTTTTCCCAGGTGGTTCGCAGTCTTGCCACTGGTGCCAGGTTAAGGCCACTAAGAAGGAAAAAAAAGTGGTATAAAGTTAAATGACTTTTTTTTAAAAAAAAAAAAAAGATTTATTTATTTATTTATACAAGCACTGGGTACAGTCAGATACACGGGAGGGTGAGAGAATTCACCAGAGCCAGAGCGAGGACGAAAGAGGCAGACTGACGAAGTACACTGCTGAGGGGAGCAGCGGGCAGCAGGAGAGGTCTGTGCGCCATGTGGGACCCTCGCCAGGTGCCAGGGATTGAACTGGCGCTGCAGAGGCCGCAGGCAGCTTTGAAGCCCAGCGCTCAACCACTGCGCTACTGGGTCGGCCCAAAATTAAATGCCTCTTAACAACTCTGTGCGTCTTACATACAGAGCAACTTACAGTAACAAAAGCCATAATAGTAATGAGAGGATGATCAAACTCCTTAGAGAAAATGACTAATTTAATCAACATCAATATTGTTTCAGTCATGAACTAATAAGCATTTAAAAGGGCTGAAGGAATTCCACATATACTGTATCTACTGATTCACTTGGGAGAAGTTCAAATAATTTGCCCCAAATCAGTAAACAAAAAAATGGTGCAAAGAGGTTTTCTGGGCTCCAAATGAGCACACCAGAGATTTTAAAGTCTGTGGTTTCCTGGATTGACATATTTTTAATCTGCAATCTGAATTGACTCTTAAGACAAATTCATTCTTACCTGATGATTGCAAACATTGAGTTAAAATTCTTGCATTCCCTACAATGTAGTGCTATCTTGATGAAATGCTTAATGATCTTCATCCTTTTCAGCTGGTTTGTCTCTCGCAGAATTTCAGATGCTACCCAAAATGTTTCCTGGTTAATGACTTCTTCAAATTTTTTCAGGTTGGCACAGCTGGTTTTTGATTTGAGTTTAAATAAATCATCTATATATTCAGTAGGTTCTATATTGCGGAAGAGTTCAAAATTGCGCATAGAGAGTTGTGTGGCAACTTCAACAGTACTGAGCTGCAGTAGCGAAATTTGACTCTCTCTCAGCAACTCCTGAGCATCCTCATCTGAGCAAAGGGTTTCTGTTTCCATGTTGTTTTTCAAGTAGTATCTATGAGAAAATAAGCCCAAGTCTAAGCAGTAGTCTCATGATGTTCCTTGAAAGAATGCTACTTTTTATACAGCAGTTGAGAGAACACTGAATTCAATAATGGAGAATTCTTTTCAACTAAGAGAATGCAGCTGCTGCCTCCGTCAGCAGATCACAGAACCACCTACTCAGAAGTCATTGATGGAAACTATTACATGGAATTTCATTTGTACCAGTTTTAACTCCTTTTTGTCCTGTCCTCCCTGGTTTCTGTATTTTTTTTTTTTTGCTAAAAATGACAGAAAATACCTCTGCTTAAAACTTCAGTGGAAATAAGAAAACAGGCTCTAAGGAAAGAAGCAGGAGAGCTCAAATACAGGTCAACAGTTTTTGCAGAAAGAATCTGTGACTACTAATGAGTCTAAGTTTATCTGTTCAACTACCTCAGAAATTTAAAAGCTATTCCCCTCAATTTGTCCCCAGTAGAACAATAATACTACCAATTTTAACCTTTAAATATCTGATTCTCACAAAAATCCTGCAAGCAGGGCAGGTAATATTTCCATTTGTCAGCTGATACAGAGGATCCCAAAGAATAATGACTAGTTAATGCCCACTGCAGAAGAGAACTCAGGGCTCCTCCTTCGTAAGAACTTGCTGGAAATAAAATATCAATGGCTGACCTGTGATTTTTAAAAATTATTTATAGTGTGAGCATACAACCACATATATGTATCCATGGGAATATTCAAGACTGACAATGGGCAGTATTAGCTCAACTCATTGTCATAGATATCTCCACTGAGCAAAGGACACTACAGTAGTATTAGAAAATGTGTTTTTGAATGTACATATCCAAGGAAACAAGAGTACCAGTGCTTACTTAGATATTACATCAGGATCATTCTGTCAGCCCAGTGTCTACAAGGGAAAAGTCACTGCTTGCACATGAGCAGGCAGTAACAACAGTCAGGTCACAGTGCCCTTATTTTGAACTAGAGATCTCTGTGACAGTCTGGTATGTGCATTTACTTTGATATAGCAATTCTTGGTAAATAGGAGAAAACCTTAAACTTTAAAACTTTAACGTGTGAGGGTACTTATGTACTTATAAAACACTTTGAAGTGTTCATCTCAGATATGATAGGGGTCTGAAGAGGGTGTAAAGAAAGTAAACAGGATAAATGTTGTATACCTTCCACTCAGTTGTATTCTATCAGCAAGTTTGGAAAGCTGATCTGGAAGTCTTCTTTGTTTGATTACTCCCTCAGGTGTGACAGAGACCTCACAAAGTGAATATTGATCGGGGGTGGCAGTCACAGCAAACTCCCTGATAGCCTGAATGACCACTTCCTTGGCTGTGGTGTCCTTACTGATCATGATGTAGCGACTTTGCTGATCAGCCTTAAAAACTCTTAACACTTGATCTGGCAAGTCTGGGAGAAAGGAAAGGATTTTAATAAGTCATAATACAATTAAGCAAATATGAAAAAAAACTTCTGTACCATCATTATCTTTTCTAAACTCTCACCTCTCCCTTACTCTTCTTCAAAAGTTCAGTGAGTCAACAGAGAATCTACTGTAAGATATGCTACGAGAATACATTTTCCCCTATATATGATGGAATAACCTGCAGACATATTAGGACATAACAGCAGCACACCAGATTGTCAGGTTGGTTACCAAAATAAAAAAATTTTTTTATCAAAATCACATCTCTATTATACTGAAGAGCCCACTACACTAACCTAATATGCCTTTTACTATATTTAATATGACCTGATACCTTCATTAAGTTTTGCACTTTTA